GTTCCAGGTTAAAATCCAAGTAGAACTGGCATTGTTTTCTCAGAGTGCAGAATGTGACTACTTGAAATACTTAGACCTGACAGTGGTCAAATCACAGTAAAACACCTTCTGTAAGGAGCAGTGCGGTTCTGGCTGAAAGTATGTTATGCTCTCTCTTATTTCTACATAATAACCTTGAAGCTTCCAAAGGGTAAATCCACAATATTTTACTAACAAATCTAACAAAACCAATTACTGTTATTTCTCCATTCTTCTTCAATCACCATGTGCATAAGGATGCACTTGGAGAGCGAGTCAAACGAGCACTCAGGCTTGGCATTACCATTGAGCCCTACGGTAATGAGTTACAACGCAAACCACCCACGAGAACCAGCACAATGTGCTCAGGACCAGCCCACGTGGCCTAAACCAACAACTTTTACAGTCTGGCGGCCTGACAATGAAAATCAAATGAGTTAGTGAACATTCACCAGATGAGGTCCTTGGTATAAAAGGAAGAATACCAGAAAATGTTGCTTCACTGAAGGAAAAAAGTTAGTTTGGGCGACTGTCTAGTCTTTCTCTTCTTTTACTCCCCTGACCCCTTCAAACAGGGTCTGAATTCACGTTTCTAAAGTTTTCTCTGCTTGTCCTTTCCTTCAGTCAGCTCAACATCCTTGACAGACTCATAAGCATACACTACCCATACGTACTGCCAGGCTGCTTTCTGGCAGTGTCTTCGGGTTAAAAAAAAGAAGAGAATTCAACATAGTTAAAAATAAATGAAAATATATTTATAACTGAGAGGTAAAGTGTACATAGTTAATCTAAGCCTTAAGAGATCTTAGTTCTGCATAATTATAGGAAACTTTAACAGGTATCTATCAGTGTGGAGTGGAGATTGCAATTCTTTAAGATAATGCTTTTTGAAAACTAATTTCTACATGAGTAATTTTGAATAAGTAATTTCTCCTTTTCTGTTTTAGTTTTCTACTCTTAGAAGCTAAGCTACTAACAGGATTAACTGGCAAGTGCTATGATGAATTACTTAATATTCAACAAATACTATAGTCTTCTAGGATTATAATGATATACAGATGCTGGAAAAAACTATTTAAAGTCAAAGCTACATTTAGAAAGAAGCTGAGAAACTTTCAGCCTGAGAGAGAATACACAGATTTGTTTCTTGGACAATGGGTTGAACTAGTCACTGACATTTCAGGCATTACTGAATGATGGCCCATTTCAGGACTTCTCAGACGTCAGCAGTAAGGGCTACTTTCCACAACAGCACTCTGACTGCAGGAGATAAAAGACTGTTTATTCTTTTTTCACAGGGGAGGAAAACAATGACAAAAGCAGGAAGGCAGCAGTAATGCAGAAATCCGGAGGTGATGATAAAGGGTAGGGAGAAAGGAGAAAATTGTTCAAATAAATCCATTCTGGTCAAAACCAGGCAGGTGACAGCCAAGTATATATGACATTCAATTCGAGTGCAAATCATCGTTTTTCAATTCAGTAATTAAAGACAATTTTAGATTTAATTGGGTGATAAAAAGTGATTTGAAATACAAAACACAAACTGAAGTATTTCAAACCTTTAGAACACAAGCGCGTGTTGTTTTCCCGAGTGCTCTACACAACCCTCAAAACCCAGAAAGCACACTGTATTTGTTAAAAAGCGTTGCTGCTGCACTCTGTGAAGTACACTTCACGATACTGACATGTTACCGCTTCACTCTTGACATCCTGTGAGCAGTCAGAGCTAGCCAAAAAGCAAGCTGGTATAACCCCTGGCTTGGAGAAAATTTCAGTTGGCAACAAATAGCAAAAAACAGCACCTGAGAATAAGGCAGATCTTAAAATGAGAATTGCTTAACAGATTACAGTGAACTAATGTATAGATTTGAACATTAACTGTATGAGGAATAATTTAGTCGCACAAGCAATTGAAGAGAATTTTAACAGCATTTCTCTTTGAAAGAACTAGTTTTGCTGTTCAGTGGATTTAATTAATTAAAACCCCAACATTTTAGAAGGGACTGAGCTAGCAGTGAGCACAAACACAAACCCACTGCCCCCTGAAGCCAGATCTCTCAGAATCTCATCTCTTAGGTAATGTTAACAGTATATCCCAATCACTTCCATTTCCAAAAAAAGTTTAATTAAGCAGGACACGGCTAAACAAATTGCCATTTATTTGTGGATCAAGCCGCCACCATTGGTGTCACATTGTCTTAGGCATTTCGTTACTAAGGCAAATATAGCAAGAGCTAACCTCTCCCTCCAAACCCTCCCATTTATCATTATCATTTTGTTGGTGAACAGATCTCTTCCATCACTCTTCACTGCTCCAATTTTCACACCATCATCAAGTCCTCCTGTTTTTCACTTTAGTAAATCTTTAAAACAGGAGTAAATCAGTGAAGACCTTGGACACAGCAGCATAACAACTTGTTCCTTTAGAAAACCCTAATTTTAGACATGGTCTTTTAATAGCTCTTATTAGCCAATAAAAGGTAACTGCATTCAGATAACACATTAGACTTCTGCAAAGAGCATGTCTTCATGGTCACATTAACAGAACATGGAGTCTGCACTTGGGACAAGTCTTTACACAGAAACTCCAAAGTACAAGACATGCCGCAACTCACAGGAGGAAGCACATCAGTCTCAAGCCACAAGAATAAACTTCCTTGTCTTTCTTCACACATTTCTTCAGTAATTTAGATTAATAAGGTTGCTTCTGTATAGAAACAGTAAATCAGATTCCGGAATAAGTACTTAAAGAGAGTTACGGCCAAAAAGTTGTACTGAAAAATAGTAAAGCTTCAAAGTTCCATTTTTCATCCTTCTTACCAGAGTGATGTTTCATCATTAAAAGGATGAATTACAAAAGCAGAAATCTTGCCTATTTCCAATAAACCATTCTCGTACATACAAATATAAACAAACACCTTATTTAGATTTTGTTCTTCTCTGGACAGCTACAAATAATATCTCAAATCAAAGATCCAGATTTCTAAACCACTAGCATCAGGAAATTTTACTGAGTGGCAGATGTCACTCATTCTAAAATTTTAATTAAAAGAAAAAAAATCCTTCAAAACTGATTTCAGGTTCAACTATTAGTTCTTCAAAACCAACTAATTTTACTTGGAGAGGTAGGGCTAGATACATGTGCTACATGCTAGAACTTGTGCCATCCTTAAATCTTATTTCCTTTTTGTTGCATTTTATATATAAAGTTATTATGATCTATACTCGGTATTTGACCCAAAAAAGAAATTCAACAGAGCTTATTAAATAAATCTAAGCTCTAAGGTAACTGTTAGGTTGAAACAGTAGCATTTTATACTGCTTTCTAAGCATTGCTAGAAAGCCATATCAAATAATTTGAAAATATCAAATTAATCACAGAAAATAAGGTATTTTTTCACAGAACTCTGGTTCATTAACTGATTGTCATCTTAGAATTGTGAATACAAATATTAAGTTAATGTTTCAGTTGTTGTTATAGAGGCTAGTACCTCCACAGTGCTGTTGCTATGGTTCCCCTGCTACTGAGATCCTATCTCTTTCTAATAAATAGGTAAATATACACAAACAAAGTGTTGAAATGTACAGATATTCATCTATACACACAGGCAAGAGTAAACACTGCAAACTTCCTCCTCAACATACTTTTTGCCATAGTCAAAAGATCAAGAAGGATACAGAATCTTGTACTTTTTCCCCACATGGAACTATATAGACAAATATTTTTATAGCATACATCTTTAATATTTGTATTTCAGCAGCATATGTCTCTCAGCATCTATTCAAAACAACACTGTAGTACAGAAAAGCTCTAGACTAACAGAGAAAGCTTTTAAAAACAGAATTTTAAATTATAAGAATGCTTAAAAAGGACCGACCAATCGAATGAAATGAATAGTTATCCTCCAGTTTGTGCTCAAATTGAAAAGCTCATAAAAAGGGAACTTGGATTGGAAGCACCGTATTTTTCATTTCACGTGCCTCTTAAGGCAGCAAATTGCTCAGTCATTCTGAGCACTGTGTGTTTACAAACTATTTATTCAAAGGTGGAATCAGAGGAGGGGCAAAAAGATACCTAGAAAAACATAATTTTCACTGAGCTGCACTGCTTAGGTCAACTGCCTGCTTCTTCAGAAAAAGGAACCTTCTGGCATTTGTCAGTAGGCTCAAATATCTTGAAATGCTGAAAAGGTGAAACAAAAAACTTACCCTGTGCTGCATTCCTATCTGATCTTTTGTCTCATATGTTCCTCTCAGGGAGGCACAAGAAATTTCTCTGAATAATTCATAAGCACCTAGGCAGAAACCAGCTTCTACTTCTGAATAAAAAGACTGGGTAAGAAGCTGACTGCAGCTGTTCTACTCTGCTCTATCTGGAAGAAAACTGGATTAAAAAAAGAAAGTAATTTTCCTAATATAGTAAGCATAGGTTGTATACATGTATACATGTATGTATATATGCAGTATATAAACAAACTTACACATTTATGCTGTGGAAGGCACCTTTGTACTTAAAGCTACACATTCCTTTGAGGGCAAGACTGATTCTCTGCCTTTCAAAAATCCAAAAAATCACACAGCATGAAGGTAAATCAATCAACATGTAGAATTCAATTTTTAGTTTGTAATTAGATAGCAGAATGACAGGTGTTTCCTCTAGACTACAGTATCCAACTCTTCTCTTGCCACGAGCCACCTTCATTTCCCACCAGCACTGAATATTAGGCAGATGCAAATTATTTCTTTTCTGCAGTCTCTGCTAGGACTGAAATAGTGTTATTGCCTGCAGATCTTTTTTATGTCCCAACACACAAGAATAGAGAATAAAAAGCCAGAAAAAGATTGTTTCCAAAGCTATTTGGCTAATAAGAATATGGATTCAAAACTCCTAAGCTAGGGCTTACCCACACCATGTTAAGATTTCACAATACAGTATCCTAAGATGAGACGAAAGTACTTATGAACATGGACTCAAGACTTACCAGCCTCTGCATGCTTTTCACATGGGTAGGACTAATAGATAAGGCCTCTTCATACCAGCGTTTGGCTTCATCGATATTTCCACGAAGTTCAGCCACCTGACCTCTCATGTAGAGAACATAGTGCGACATTGGAAAGAGATTAGCTGCTTCCTGGGTACACGCTGTGGCCTCAGCTGGTTTCCCAATTCCTATGTAGACTTCAGCTGTGGAAGGAATGTGAGGATCAATGAATGATTCTTGCTTCATCATATCATGATGAGATGTTGTCACATGCTGTATTTGCAAACAGTGTCATGCTAAGCAAAGGCGATTTTCCTCAAAATATTCTGCAGTTCAAGAGAAATAATTACATAAATTATTTTAAATTAATTATTCTGCTAGGAAAGTTGCTTTTCTCAATGTAATATGAGTTGAAACCTCTAAATGGCTATTTTCAACACCAGAAAACTCTTTATAGTTTGTTATTTTTAACAGAAATGGTTTTTTTTTTTTTCATTTTGGTTTTATTTTTAAGATGTTAGCACACCAGTATTCCAGTACTGTTTAAGAACAGAAAACCCAACACAAAACAGCACACAGAGATCCTTACAGTAGGTAAAAGAATACAACTAATTATGGGGTTTTCTGAAGGTTACATGCCAGCCGTTAAGGAAGCAGTAGCAATTGCTCCAGTCACCAATCACTAAATATTAAGCCTGGTTCTAAGTTTCCTACATCAGAGCATTTTAAAGGAAATATAACGTTATTTGATAAAAAAAGTTTCCTAGTTAAGTTAGGAGAACATGTGAAATGCTTAATACCATTCTGATTCAACAAAATTTGTTCATATTTCCAAGACACACTCCAGAAGGTAAGAACATTTAACTCTGTAGCTTAAAAAAACCCAACAAACCAGCGGATATATTTAATTTCAGATAAATCACTCCTGATGAAGGCAGCTGAGTACCCTGACACACACCTGTCTAAATCAGATTGACTACAGGGAAAAAAAAAGTTTGTTCAGTAAGTGATTAATAACTAACAATAGAAGTATTTGCCTTCGATAGCTCTTACCACACTCTTCAACTCTGCCATTTCACTACCCTGCTGCATTATCTTAATCTCTTGCCGAAAAAGTGGGAGAAGAGAGGAATAAAGAGATACCAAATGCAAGAAAAAGATATTAAAGGTTCTGGGATGAGTTATCTATTTCTTTTACGTTGGTATAGATCCTAGAAAAACTGAGCCTCAAAGTAATTGTATAACTGCATTCTGTTGTATCACACATACAAGAGTTGTAGATGCCCCATCCCTGGCAGTGTTCAAGGCCAGGTTGGATGAAGCTTTGAGCAACCTGGTGTAGTGGGGGGGTGTCCCTGCCCATGGCAGGGGGGTTTGAACTAGATGATGTTTAAGGTCCCTTCCAACCCCAACCATTCTATGATTCTATAACTGCATTCTATTGTATCACACAGTATAAGAATCTTATAGATTAAGGTTTAAATCAAAATGCTTCATCAAAACAGCAAAGTGATCTATTGATGTTCAAGACATGGTTCTGACTGTACAGGACAGGCCACCCATCTTGGTTTAAAGGCTGTCAGATCAGGATCTCGCACTACAGCAGAGGATTTGGGATTACGCCTAAAACTCCGAATAGGACTGATGTTTGGGTGCCTTTAAAGGAGCATTATTCTGAGATAACTGCATCAAACAGACTTAATAGTATCCCTAACTAGTCAACTTCAGTACAGCAGAGTGTATAAACCTTAATTTACAGGTGATACTTGCTATGAATATTCATAATTATTTTCACCAAAATCAATTTATAACAATGACTAACAAAAACTGGACTTTCAGTAGCAGTTGATGATTAAGCACAATTTAAAGGTCCTACTCATTTTCCTTTTTTTTTAGACTAATTTTTGTAGAGTTGCTAGAGGAAATTCTTTTCTTCCTCTAGGGCCAGATCCCATTGATGGGAGAACAGATGTTTTTTTACCAGAAGAGCATTATTTTGCTCCTCAGTTGACTCAGTGATTTCACCGAACACATTCTACCTAACATAAATAGTATGTCCATGTGGATGTATGGATTAATGTAGCATAGTTTTAGAAACTAACGAAATGCTTTTGATAGAAAAAAGTCTCATTCACATGAAGAACTAACACATGAAACTGCAGACCTAGCAACACTTCCCCCCACCTCATCCCTAAAAGAACCACCTCACCTAGTCAGAGATGGTACTGTATAACTGAAGAATAGCAAAGCTGGAAGATAATGAAGGGATAAAATTTTGAACTCAAACTCCAAATTTGGGAGAAATTAAATTTTTCTAGATTTTTACTAACTTGGTAGAATCCAAAAAGCAAATTGTAGCCATAACTTGAGAGCTGGACATACAGCATAAAGTGTGAATTGTACTGAGAGGTTCAGGGTTTTTTTTTAAAAAAACACCTAAAGTATGTTGGAAAAGCTTTGAGTACTTTATTCTTGAGTGTTTTTCAATACCACTACGTGAGAAACAAGGCTTTACTGAGCAAAAAATACATTACATAGTTAAATGCTAACCATTTGAGCTCTCCTGGTTTTATTGTCTCTTATCATAGAATCATAGAATGGTTAGAGCTGGAAGCGACCTGAAAGATCATCTAGTTCCAACCCCCCTGCCATGGGCAGGGACAACCTCCACTACACCAGGTAGTGTGTGGAGGCCTCATCCAACCTGGCCTTGAACACTTCCAGGGATGGGGCATCTACAACTCCTCTGGGCAACCTGTTCCACTGCCTCACCACCCTCTGAGTGAAAAATTTCTTCCTTATATCTAACCTAAATCTGCCCTCTTTCAGTTTAAAGCCATTGCCCCTTGTCCTATCACCACATGCCCTTGTAAAAAGTCCCTCTCCAGCTTTCCTGTAGGCCCCCTTGAGGTACTGGAAAGCTGCTATAAGATCACCCCAGAGCCTTCTCTTCTCCAGGCTGAACAGCCTCAACTCTCTCAGCCTGTCTTCATAGCAGAGGTGTTCCAGCCCTCGGATCTTCTCCAGCATCGTCAGACTTGAAACAGTTTTAAATACACACTCCCAAGTTGCTTTGAAAAAAGACAATTAGGAAAAATAGAATTTACACAGACTGTAAAAGGTACTAAGTCAAAGCTATAATTATTAGCAAATAATAGGCAGAAACTAAAAATTACTTAAGTAGATGATTATCTGCTATCACAATAATTCTATAGTGAAAAATAAGCAGAGATTGGCTAATTTAACATCCTGCAGTTGAAATTCTGTATTCCTTGAGGGGAAACGAGTATGTATGGTAGCAATGGCTTTTAACACCAGCCAGCAGAGGCTGCAATATCGCTTATAAATGTCTTATGTTACTTAAGAGATACTAAATCTTGCTGTCCTGCTTACTAAATGCAGCAGAGAAACTTGACAGTTATTAACAGATCTTCCTAACAGTATTAAATTTAAACAATATAATTCCTTATTATTACAGAGTTCTTTTAAAAATACCTTATTTGCTCTACCAGAAGTTATGCGACCCCAACAGAACATACTGCAGGCTTTTTGGAAAACTATGAAAGAATGAATAGAAAGTTGAGCTTGTGGTGAAGTGCTAAACATGAAAGTTCATTCAAGAAATTTCTGAAACTGAAGGAGAGCAGTTCATTCTGAGATAATGACTTCAAAATGAATTAAAATGTTAAAAAACCAACATGGCAAATTCAAATAAATCAGTTGTGGAAAACTGACAAGCTGTCTGTAGTGCCAGCAGACTCCGGAGGAAAATCTCAGAGAGAAGCAGCAGTTGCAAGAGATACCAGGTGCCAAGTCTGATGTGCTCTTTCTTCTCAATGTCTCCACCTAGAGAACGCCAAGAATGCCTTCTGGCTCAAAGCCTTCCAACGCTTTCTCTTGCATTTTATTCAGAAATCAATCTATTTGCCAATCAAACTGCATAGCAATATTGAGTTCAGTCTTGACACATTTCTCAAAGGACCATTAACTATTTAGGACAGGTCTGGTTTTTAACAGTGAGTTACTGGAGAGCGTACTAATTGCAAAAGTCATTTTGTTTCACATTCAAAATAAGCCTGTTTTTCCACCTTTACGCTGAAATGAAAGGCTAAAATAGTCCATTAATAAACACAAGATGAAAAATTAAAAGCTAGTTACTGTGTGCAAAATCAACTTTCGGACTGAATGCCATGCTCATTTATACTAATGAGAGCTGGAATGATGCTGTATATCCATAAGAACAAACATTTTCTCTCTTTTTCATATCGTCTGTATTAGTTTGGGTAAATATATTCCACTCAGTTTTGCATGTATTAGAACTTATTTACACAAATTTTCCATGTGTTTATAATCTAACAGGAAGAATAATTCACAATTTTTGTATTTTAAGATTTAAAGCTTGTTAAAGATTTTTTTTCCCCTTCCACTAAGAAGTAAAACACTGCAAAATCATACAGGGAGTCAAAAAGTTAAATGTGGCATGAATCTCAAAACGGAAGCAATTTCCCAATGGTAAATCTTCACTTTTATTTAAAGAACGTGCTGTAAGGCGTTAAGTAATTTTATCACTGTCTTCTATGCAAGTAACCCATATATACTGATGAAGATACATTCCAGAATACCTGCTTTGTATTGTGCTTCTGGGAGAAAACTTTGTTCTAAATGTTCCTACAGTAAATAAATGATTAAATAAATAAATAAATAAATAAATAAAATCTTAATCAAGGCTCAGGGCATTTACTGTAGCAGGACAAGTAGCTGAACAGCAGTATACCTAAACACTCTGAAATACAGCACAGATCACCAGCATGAAGTATCAAGAAAAGGATCATTCTAAAGTGGAGAAGAAGTAGACTTGAGGCTGCGGTACCTTCTCTGAAGGCAGACAGAACCTCTCATCTCTTGTTTTTTTCTTTCATTGTTCCCCATACACAAAGAGTCAAAGCACTCTTCATGTTTTGGTGTGTCCTTCCCCTGCATCTTTAGCACTTTAGTTCATTCTCCAACCCAACTCTCTCCTACTTCCTATCCATGCTTCCCCCTGCTGGGAATCAAGACTATGGCCTACAGACCACACTTGCTGAGACAGATATTTTTAAGAGTAGAAAGTGGACTGTGCAGCAGATTGCAGCAGCAGACCACCAATGTGTATGCAAGTCTGACTAAGTTGTGAATCCTTTTTTTCCACATATGCAGTTATTTATTTTCAATGATAAAGATTTTCTAGTCGCAGGAACTCTATTTAATAATCTTACAAACATCATCTTCCAGCCAATGGAATTAAGGCATCTAAATTTCCAAATACTAAGATACTCAAAGTACTTCAGAATCTAAATTCTTCACGGATAAGGAGAGTGTGTTACCTTCGTTCTACAGAAGATATGACTCCACTGATAATGGCTGCATTATAAAGCTACTCCTTTATCTTACATAAATGATCTCACACACAAGCAACTTTAATGTGCTTTTTATTTCTTTTACTTGCTTCAGTGCCACACACATCTGGAAGAAGTTTGATCTGATAAGCGATAACAGATTTTGAATGAAACCAACAGATTTTTGCAAGTCCTTAGGCTAGCAAGAAAAGGGAGGGGAAAGAACAAGAAAGAATTTTACTTTTGTAGTACCTGCGTGAAGCCATATTTGAGCCAGAGTCATCCAAGGATGCAGGGGACCTTGTTTAGGGGCACTGCTTTGCAGAGATGAAGCAACCTCAGACAGTGCTTGCTCCACCCTGGAAGCTGCTATTGATGTAGCATGGACTGAACCTGTAGAAGTAATAAAACAAAAATCACCATCATAGAAAGAATGAAGGCCATACACGTCGCATGAAACATTTAATCGTAACCCTTTTCATAAAAGGTTTTATCTCAAACTCAAGATTTAATTTACATGTACCATTTTGGAGAAGTTTTTTGAACTGTCAGGTTAATTTTCCTTGTTATGAAAGCTTTAATACTGGTCTGAAAGACCATATAAAAAACAGACTGAACATTGGTAACCATACCTGACAATTTTTGGGTTGCTATTATGAATACTTTCTATTAAACTCGACACGTCTTTTCTGGCAACGTAGGCTCCAAAACCATATTTGTGATGGTATCGTACACTGTAATCTTCAGGTACTGCATGCACTTTGATGTTAGTAATTGCTATGTCTTTCCACAGAGTGCAATTAGAGGACTATTTTGAGACTAATAACAGTACAAAAAAGAACTAAAATATACAAGATGATCACAACACACCTGATCACAAATACACAATTAAACTGCACTGAATGTAAACCTTAGCTAATCAAGAATGCTGAGTTAAAACACCTTATGACAAAAAGTCCCTTGCATAAAGAACATTCCTAAGGTATACTATGTAAAGGATACTTCTCCCAAAATGAAGCATTTACAAGTGAGATTAGAATCTCATTGGCAAATACTACCCTTTTCAAAAAAAAATTAAAAAAAAAAATAAAAAAGGTTCTATGATTAGAGAATTTCTAATGGCAACTGTACTTTGGATAGCCAGTTACTGACAGAGTATTTAGTCACGATGTATTTTTTTTCATATCAAGACCGTGAATATTTTAAGCTACACTACTTCTTGTCATCTAAGCTTCAGCGTATCTCTAGCTGGTTTATAACTACAAAGTACAAAATCTCCGACTGACTAGGTCTGACTAATAACTAATGATAGTGAAATATCTTCTAAGCCTATCGGCATATCTGTAATGGTCAACAATGGCAGGTACCATTCAATACCAAAGAATGGAATCCTCTACAGGTTGAACTTCACCCCACAAGCTCATTCTCATCACTAGCAGTTAAGAAATAAAAGAAACCTTCGCTCTCAATATTACAGGTTTTCTAAGAATTGTAACAAGAAGAGGTTTGCCACAGAAAACATACATTCTTAAGTGTGACAAGATAAATCAGCAAACCAGAAAAGCAGAAGAAATTCCTAGTACACAGATCAGTGGGAAGAAGTTTGCCTGAAAGTGTGCATCACGTTTCCCTTAACTGACAGAAACAAGGGAAAAGCAGTACAGGACATAATTAGTATTTCATATGTCATTATGAACAAGGAATTGCCCTGAAGATCTGAAACAGGCCATGGAGTTTGCTTTCCTTTACTGGCTGATGAAACAACTCAAACTCCAGCCTGCAGAGTTAAACATTCGCTAAAGTCTGTGTGTCTTATCTTTAAGGCTTAGCTTCTGAAGAAATATAAAAGGGAAATCTAAGCAAGAAGCATGTGGAGTGTATTCCATGAAAAATACCAGCAAAGGTACCATAAATAAGCACTAGTCACCAGTAATCCTTTTCTTGTTTGACATCCGTTTCTGTACACGCACCTCACTGCAGCCTGTCACTTGTCAGCCTTCCAGGGACTAAGAGTGAAAGAGCCTCCTCATCTCTCCAGAAGAATTTGCAAAGAAAAGGTGTGATTCACTGACACTAAGGATATTATCTAGTCCCTTCCTCTGAAAAGCAAGTATTCAATTTAGTATTAAGAAGGGCCCATACTTTCTGTTATTTAAAGCAAGGACTCTGGCTGCTAGCCAGGCCACAAGTAATTTCGTATAGAAAGCATGCTGCTAGATTTTAAGCCTCTAGTACTCAACCATATGGTAATATATTATTAAAACTTTTTGTACATCAATTTCTTGATAAAAAAAGAACTACACTGTGATAAAATTCTTATGAGTTGCAGTGCCACCTATATTAAAAGTTAAAATGGAGAAGATAGTGAGTGCTTCCTAGGGTAATTAACTCCTATCTGGAGCTTTATTCTGAGTGTTAGAAAAAAGAGAAAACTTAAAAAAGAAATTATTTCTAGAAATTTTTTTCAAAGTGCCATTATCCAAATTCCTTCTATTTCCTGTTTAGGAAAAAGGTCTCTCAACACATTGCAGCAGTTAGTTCTCCGAAGAAAACACACACATATGCAAAGTAATAGTCTTCAAGTGTCCTTACTTCAATCAAACTACTAGAAAATTGTTACCTCCTATCTCGCACTAAATTAATACAAGTGACATAAAAAGTATTCTAAATTAATTATGAATATTAACAATCTAAAACTCAATGTGGACCAAGTAACTTAACTGTTTTAGAAACTCAGATTGGCAATTATTCAACATAATCAACTAAATATAAGCTGCCTCTAAATGACATCTCAAATAAGCAGATTCTTGCGGTTTAAGTTTTAAGACCAATGTTAAGCAGCATACAAAGAAACTTCTTGTTATCTTCTGCAGGGCTGTTTGGAAATCCCAGCCTTTGAAATCCCTTCATGCTTCATTCTTATTTAAAATGTAGAGAACTTAATGATACTGCAAAACAGCACATGAGCATTGATTGGGCTTTATTTGTTTGGTTTTGTTTCTTTAAAAGCCCTCCTTGCAGTGGCTATTGAAAGAGCTATCAAGCTCAGGGCTATATAGTTTCCAAAAGGAGGAGGGATGACCTCTAGCATAGCCTTCCATATCTAATCAGCACAGCCACTGTATCCTTTATCACACTTTTAGATCTTTTCTATTATTTCTTTTCTTTTTCTTTTTTTTTTAAAAAAAAACAACAACAAAAACCCAAAACCAACCAACCAAAAAAAACCCCCAACAAAACCAAAACAAAAACCACAACAGTAGTCTTTTGACACTGCCTAATCAGGCAACTTTCAGGTACAGCTCTAACCCATAAATCTCTAAATGCTGCTTTAGCATTGCCACAATTGGCTGTCATCTGACTCATTTCTGGCTCCTTCTATTGAAGTACAATTAATAAGCTCCCATTTTGCAGACAACAAGATCATTTAAACATCCTGTGTATCAAAAAGCTTTTTCTAACCTTCCTCCAAACTTTAGTCAACCCTTTTCTTATTCGAACTAACTTATCTGAACTATTTGTTCCTTGTTTTAACCCAGAGGGTCCCCTAGATTCAGATCTTTATAGCCACACTACAATTGTAAAGTGTACAGTAATTTCAACTACAACTGGTAAAGATACATCATGGTTTGTGAGAAACTGAGGACAAAGAGTGGATCTTAAAGCCTGCTCGAGGCCTCACAGATCCATCTGCTCGAGGCCTCACAGATCCTATGTGGCCAGTTACTCACTGGGTGGCTCCCTGTTGGTTTTGTCATAAGCTCTACTCTCTCTTCCCAGCCTTATCTGTATTCTTCTTTCTTTGGTCTATATTTGGTACCCTCGGCCAAACACAAAAATACCCTCGCATTCAGTATTACAATTCATTCAGTTGCAGCTTTCTTCAAACGTTCACATAGAGTAGCAGTAATTTCTGGTTTAAAATTTTACCATATCTTTCCCACACACAAATATCCTTGCTCTTCCCAGGTAACTTCTAGACCTGCTGTTATAGCGTGACACTTAAGAATCAAGAGACAATTCCCTCGAAATATCACAAGTAGCAAAGAGTATTTATTTTGAAATATAAAAGCATGAGGTCTGGAAAAGTAATATATCATCAAAACGCATCCTGGCTACTCACTTTCATTTGTTTAGTTTTGTTCTGAAGCTTGTTTATACAAGAAAGGCCAAGTGCAAAACAGGGACTGTCTTTGCAAGATCTAGAATTCACTACTTAAGTTACTTATTGATTAACATCCGGAATCACAATCACATTGCACACTGCAAAGTGTGACAGAAGGTCTTAATCATGACAAAATATTTCTAAACCAAAAAGGTATAACCTCCCACTCGAGTTTCCAATAATGACATTTGTCCAGAATGTAATTTACAGAGTTTCTACTCACCGTACTAACATAGTATCTGGAACAATCATGGTTATATCAATGTTTCAATTCAATCTCAAATAGAAAACCTGTCAACAGCCTTGCACAAATACAATTTAACCAAGAAGTTAAGTCATCTCACAGAAACCTTTCTTTTCTAAGTCACACCTACAGTTCAACTTCTGTGAACAACAAAGTGCTCAATTTATTCTCTTCAGGCTTTTCTTAAGATAAATATTACAGGACAGTCTACATGAAATCCATCTTTTAAATACGATTTATAAGTCATCCTGTGTAAATAAGCATGTTATGACTTCTGTGTTTCCCTTGGTCATTTCCCAGTAAATTCTTCACAATGTAGCCTAATGGACATGAACTAAGACAGACATGGACTTTCTCAGCACTTAGCTGGCATGCAGGCTTGGAGAAAAATAAAATCACTGCTATGTACATCTGATTTTCCTTCTGAAAATGAGTAAAAGAATGGACTGTCATCCTTCATGAAACATGTTCTTATCAACTGACAAAAACACTGTAACAGGATTTCTTTTTATGCCATAAAAGAGAATATTACTAAACAGTTTTACATTCATTATGTTTTCAATGTTTCAACATTTACATTAAGAAAAAAATGCTTTAACAGTAAATGCTCGTGCAGGAGAAAAGAGGAAAAATCCCATGACTTTCAACTTTACGTGCACACAAAGCTGGCAGTAAGAACATTAGTGGTGTGACATACAAAGAACTCTGTGCTAAAAAAGCAAAAGCATGACACAAAGAGGCAGTACCTTCTGCAGGACTAACGCATCACTGAAGTGATGTATTTGATAATAACATTTTTTCCTGTAACATTCATTAAGTGTCTGAGACACCTTTCACAATCACAAATTACAAAGCTAGCTTATCTTCTGGTACAAAGTTACGCACGGTGATATTCGTAGTCAGGTACGCATAATATCATTCATAGAGCATCTTCTAAGCTCTCTGAAAAAGATTTTCCGTGCTTAATCACTGTCAAATATGCCA